AATGAACAAAAAATAAACGAACAATAATAACATTACATGTGTAATAATAAGTAATACATTGTCATGTTTCGATATAAATACTGCTTTTATATCACCTAACCAGTCAAACGATGAAAAACAAATTAATCAAAAAAAAAAAAAAAAAAAAAAAAAAGTACATATGTATAATAATTTTAATTAACAATTAATAATTAATTCTTGTGTGTTTAATCTCGGAAATATATATATAATAAGTGAGAAAGATCGATGAATTTTGAATCTCAGTGAATAAGAAGCTTTCTCTCTTTCTTTCTTTATTTCTTTCCTTTCTTCCTTTCTTTCTTTCTTTCTTTCTTTCTTTTCTTAATTGCTCGCTCATTTATTGACTGGTTTTTTTCAATTTTTTTTTAATTCTTTTTTTCATTATTTCTTATTTATCGTATCGTATAAAAAAGAGGAGGAAGAAAAAAGACGAAAATAGAACAAACGTGGACTAACACCCTCTCTATCGTTCGTTCGTTCGTTCGTACGTTCATTCATTAATTAATTCATTCGTTCGTTCATTATTTCGTCTTTATTTTCTTCTTCTTTTTCTTCAACGCCCAAATAGGCCGCAAAAAGAATCGTTAAGGCGAATTATTATTATTATTATTATTATTATTATTATTATTATTATTAATATTAATATTATTATTATTATTATTATTAATATTATTATTATTATTATTGTTATTAGTGTTGAGAAGAGAATGAATAATAGAAAAAAAAAAAGAAATAGTAAAGAAACATGTTATATATAAAAAGAAATGCAATAACGAGGATGCATTTCTTACATTTGTTTGTTCTTAATTAAACGCTTGTTTTTCGCGAAAGAAAAATCCACACGTTTCCACCAACACACATCATCATCATCATTATCATCATCATCATCGTCATCATCGTCGTCGTCGTCATCGTCATAATCATCATTATTATTATACGTGCAACAACGCATTCTTCTCTTCCCTGATGATTCATCGAATTTAATTTAATTTTTAAATTGTAGCAACTTGTTAACGCTAGTACTCGCACTTATTAAAAGCAAACGCTCAGGCAGCTAGTGATTGGTCAAGTGTGAGCTTCTCCCATTTTTTTCCTCTTCTTCTTCTTCTTCTTCTTTTTCTTCGACTTTTTTGTAGAATTTTATTTTATAATATTTTTTTTTGTGTTTTCCATTTTTACCATCTTTTTACAATAAACACCACGTTCCAATTTGTTCTTCATCGTTTCTTCTCCTTGCATAATACAAATATTTAAGTAAACACGCGTGTGTGTGTGTGTGTATGTGTGTGTAATAAGTCAATGTATTTGTTTTATGTATTAAATGTGTACATATGTGCAGAGATGTATAGGTGAATACTTTTAAGTATGATAATGTATTTAATAATGTATAATAATGCCCACGTTTTATTTACCTTAATGAATTAACGCGATATGAGTCGAGAGAGTATGTAGATCCTTTTGATTAAAAGGATGTTCTTATACATATTATGGTATGTATATGAAGTTGTGCTGAATATATAAATGCGTCGTCGGTGTCTCCTCCTGTGTAAATCTTATTTTATTATATTTATTATTGTTATTAATTATTATTTTTATTCACGCATTCTCGGTAAATGTTCGTACTAATCACCTATACTTAAATCCAGCCCCACCCTTAAACCCCATACATACATATACACACATTCACGGAGACACACGACGTCGTCACGTAAATATTTTATGTATGAGAATAATAAAAGACTCGTTTATTTCTATTTTAATCAAATTGTATTCTTCTTTCTTTCTTTTACTTTACTTTAGTTCACTTCCTTCTTTCTTTCTTTTTTTCATTTCTAATTGTAAGTTTTGATCCTTTAAATATACTACTTTTTAAATAATTCTACATTGTGTTAAATAAAAACGAGAAACGATCCTAAACAAATTTTTTGTCCTTTTCGTCTCGTTTTCTTCTTCGTTTTCTTTTTTTTTTGGTTTATTTCTGTTAATTTTTTTTTTCCACTGCTTTTTAATTTTTTTAATTTTTTTTTTTTTTTTTTTATTTAATTACGATAGACGCGCGCGATCGTTGGAGGGAAACGAGTCTTGAATGGGCCTAAGGCTCCTGGCGAGTTTAGTAGTAATTGGCTATGAACAATTGTCATTCTCACTTTTTGTTTGACTCTTCGACCAAACGCTGACCGTTCTCTTGGAATATGTAATATATATATATACTTATACAAGTCCGTATTTCTATCCTTTTCTTTTCTTATTTTTGTCTTCATTAGATAATTATTATAATTACGGGATTCGTTAAAATAGCCTAACTAATGCGCATTCGCTACATTCATCCCTTATAAGAAATATCTACGTTTATTTATTTATTTATTTATTTATTTATTTATTTATTTATTTATTTATTATTATACTACGCGCTTTTTTATGATTCGTCAATTCTGGTTCTTCTCTTCGCGTTATTATTATTATTATTATTATTATTATTATTATTATTATTATTATTATTATATTTTATTGGTAGTAATAATCGTCTTTCTTTTTCTTTCCTCCTCTTTCTTTGATACTGTCGTTATAATTCGATGAAATCTTATTTAGGCTTCGTACTTAAATAGTCCTGGCCTATGAAAACTTTTTTTTATCTGCTAGAATATCGACTCAAACGGTCGAGCTACGATTTTTGTTTTTTTTTTTCTTTCTTTTCTTTCTTTCTTTCTTTTTCTTTTTTACATATATATTTGATGTACCTATGCTTTTCTGTATTATTTATATATGTATAACTGTATATCTGTTCTGCAAGTGTTTTATCCTGTTTGATTCACAGTCTCTTTTTCTTTTATATGAGTGTATAAGTGTTTATATGAGAATCTGTGACGTCATGGTACCATCATTTCAATCGATCTCTAGTAAGTCAAATTATAAAATTCGGATAATATCAAAAGCACAAGGAAACACGTTGTATTTGTATGTATGTAGTATGGGTGTGTGTATATGTGTGTATCATATTTTAATAACAAAGCGAACAGTGGTTTCCCTTTTTAATTTCTTCCTCCTCCTCATCCACCTACTCGTTTTTTTTTTTCATTTTTTATCACCTACTTTACTTCCATGTTATTTTTTCCAACGCCAGAAACCTCTTTTGTTTTGTTTGGGAGATCTCTTTTCTTATTATAAAAATGTTAACGCAACAAAATCGTGCGTATCACTTATATATATATACTTTTAAAAGTGTCTGGCATTGGAAAATCTGTAATCCATTTCTCGAATGAAGTTTCTTCGAGGAAGTAAAAACGTTACGAAGTATCATTCTTCTACTTCTTCTTCTTCTTCTCTTATTATTCTTTCATCCAGAAAAAAAGTCAGGCGAGTTTTGTTGAATCCACGAATAATTCAGCACCCTCTTCGAATATTCCTGACTTCGTTACTCTTTCAAATTGATTTCATTTTCTTCGTTCTTTTTCTTTTCCTTTTCTTTTCTCTTCATTCCTTTATAGTTTCCTTTTTATTTTCATTTATTATTTTTCTTATTGTCTGCCATCGGAGCGCGTCGACGTAATCGAATTAATATTTTCAACGGAGCGATCGTAATTTCAACCTTAAGACGAAATAGGCGACTACCCTTAGACCGAGTAAAAATCCAACAAGGGCGACTACGTCGACCCAATAAACGGTGTTTTCCATCGACATTTCTTCTAAAAATTTCGTCGGGCTCTTGAAATGGCAGTATGCATCGGAACACTTGAGCTTCGCACGATTGTAACCGTATACAGAGATCATAGCACCTTCGAAACCGTATCTGATGTAACTCACGTATGAAAGGAACGTTAGATACGAAGGTATCGCATTAAAGTTAACAAAGAACCCTGAGAATAGGACGATTGGGACCGATGACACAGGTCCAATGAAAACCCCACTCTGAAATTACATATAATTTTCAATATTAATATCTTTTATATTATTTATATTTAATACTGAGAAAGATATATACTATTGCAACGATTAAAACTTTGACGTATAATTTCCTTTTTGTTTTGTTTATATTTTTCTTTTCTCTATTCCATTGTTTCGATAGAAAAAGTTAAATAGAACGATAACTTATAACTGTAAATTAATACTGGATTCGTTGGGTTTAATTGATACTAATTTAAAAGAGAATTACAAGTTAATTATTAGAAATATAATTATGACGTCAACGTGTTAATATAAACCTATTTCTACTAGACCTATTATATTTAGGTGTAGTATATATTTGACTCTTTTTTAGGTATTGTTATAAGAAGTTAACATATTTTCTCAACGTAAAAAACCGATTTAATAATTTATAAATAAAATTATTAAAGAGTTATTCATTTTTTTTTGTGGATAGACTTTCATGTATAGTAGAAAAATTAATTAATTAATTTGTAATATTAGGAATAAAAATAAGAGGCTTACCTCGACGCTCATAGCAGCACCTATTAACAAACCGATGGATTGTGATACCAACGACGTTAATACGCATATATTTAGATACATGAGAAACCTTTCAGTCTCCAATGGTTGCGAAGTCATAAAGTAGACGATCATCACATAAGCTATGGAATAAATTATCTGTAAAATAAAAAATAAATTACAAAAATATATATATATATATATATATTTATTCAACATTTAATAATCAATGACATATTCATTCTCTAATATTTATTATACCTGAAACGGTAAGTCGGCTAAAGTTCTAGCAAAGTAGAAAGCTTTCAATGAATACCAATAATTTAAATGTTCTCTCACGAACACTGCCATCTCTGTGGGAACTGAAAACAAAAAATTGTATAAAAAGAAAATATTAGAAATGATCCAAGAGTATGATATATGACACACGAGATATTTCAAACATGAATAATTTTTAATCTATCGCATATGACATGATATACAACTTACACGTGAGTATGGTAGGCATCATAGCAGTGAACATAAGAAACATTACAGTGAAGAAGACGCATCCGGCATTACTCATAACTTTCGAGGCCTCGTTACCGATATCGTAGTATATAGCACCGATGAGAAAACCAACGATTATGTGAGATATCAGCCTTGTTTTCGTTAATGTCTAACAATTTGACAAAAAATCATACATTATTATTTAAAAACAAAAAAACAATAAAATAAATTGAGAAAGTTGGAAGAACGAAATATTTTAATACGACTCTAACAGCGTCTATTAATCGCAATAAATAATACTAAATAAAATAAAAGAGATTGTTAATGAAATATTTAAAATAAAAACAAATCCCCCTTAACTATATGTGTTACCAAATTACACAGAAATAATATCGAATAGAAAATAAATACAAAATGGGATCAACTGTATAATCGTGACTTTTAACTGCTAAAAAAAGTAAATAACATTAAATATAAAAAAAGAAAGATATTTTTTGAAAATAATGATTAAAACAATCCTAACCATGTCTCTTAACTGCGAAAGGAATGTTCTCTTAAGTAGAATCCAAAATTGCACCCATCCATTGGTCGGGAATCCAACTTTTTGTTCTATGCTTTCGGCACTGTCCAGCAAAGAAGTCGTGCAAGAAATTGGCATATTGATGACAGTACCATCAGCGGCTGGTTTAGCAACACCATTTGGTATCAAGGTTGGAGCTTCTGGTTTGGTTTGTTCTTGAGTAGGTGATTGCTTAGCAATATCATTTGAAACCGTTTGACTTGCCGCTATCGCGGCTTGATGATGTTGATAATTATTGCATTTGCCGTTATTAACGGCCATTACCAATTTGTGAACGCATTCACCGTGTTCTCCGCATGCTACTTCCATAACTGTGATAGAGAGACAAAGAGAAATATTAAAAAAAAAAGAGAGAGATAGAAAAGATTGGTATTTTTTTTTCTTCTTTTTTGATTGTTTTTCATCGCTTGTTGTTTGCCCTTATTTTTTATCATTTCTTCGGGCGATTAACAACAGGTGTTGTTTTATCTAATTATCTGATCTTTACAGGTGTTATTTTTTTACGATGTGTTTACTATAAAATTAATATGCAGGTGTGTAGAATATTAAAAAAAGAGTAAAATTTTACCGTAATCTGCTGGATTGTGATAACTTGGACAATCTAGGCCCATCGAAGATAAAAATGGTACTAGACCACCTACATTGCCTTGATATATACATTGTCCCTCGGCTAATAAATACAAATGATCGAACATCTCAAAAAGTCTTGCACTTGGTTGATGTATCGTACATATGATCGTTCTTCCTAAAACGAAATAAGAGACATTACATACAAGCTTGTTGATTCAATTCTATAAGAATTTTTTAAATGTGTAATGTCAATACTTCTTCACAAATATCTCATCTTAATATCTATTCAGAGATATGATAAAGTTTTTTTCTTTCTCACGATTATTATTATTATTATTACTTTTTTTCTTCCTTTCGTTCTTATTTTTTTTTTCTTTTTAAATTCTTTATTTTACAAACCTCCTCGACTCAAGGATTTCAGCAGACTTAAACACTGGAAACAGGAGGAGCTGTCTAAACCAGAAGTGGGTTCGTCAAAGAACATAACCGGAGGGTTATTGACGAGCTCCAAAGCAATCGACAGTCTCTTTCTTTGTCCACCACTGAGATTGTGAGTTTGAGTATTATTGGCATCGTTCAGTCCAAGAGTTTCAATGATTTCTTCGATCTGTCAAAAAAAGATTTTCTATTTTCTTATTTATTTTCACGAAGAAAATAAAAACAAAAACAAATTTCTAAGCAGAAAATTCAAACAAGGATATTATCGTGCATTTATATTGCGATACGATATATACAAATTGATAAATGTTACACCGATATTTATTTAACACACACATTTAATCCTATATATCAAAAATTTGGTTTGTGCATTTAATCGAGTAATGTAATGTATATATAAGAACAATGTATTTATTAGTAAGAAAAAAATCAAGATAATCTTACCACAACTTTTTTTGCTGTCGCACTTATGTCCTTCCCTAATTTTAAATTAGCAGATACAGTCATGGCCTCGTGAACAGTCAAATGTGGAAGCAACCGATCGTCCTGCATAATATAACAAGACATCTTTCGAAATCTTCGAAGATTTCTATCCTTTCCATTTATCAATACTGATCCACTCAGATGAGACGTTCTAAAAATATAGAAATAAAAATAATATTAATATTAAAAGTATCAGATTGGTGCAAAAATATTATGAAAATTGTGAACTTCCTAAATGTTTATATTTAAAAATGTTATATTCTTTACAATCGAATATTAATTACGGACAATTTAATATTCAGCTTAAAACAACGAATAAAATATTTTTTAATAATAATAACAATAAAAATATTTCGCGTTTAAAAACGTGTAATTATTCATTTATTTGTATTAATACGATTTTCGAGACAAATACATGTATATATTTTTGCAAACAACACACGTATTACATGTAAATATGTGTTTAGGTATATTACTCGAGGGTAAATAGTATAGGGATGTTGTCAGTCAACACAAGGAGGTAGTGTATATCTTTGTCAGACGACGAAGTACGGATGAATATAAAGGGTTCTACCCTTCGATAAATTTGTTCTAATAATTGTTCAACCAACCGTACAACAAGCCGTTTATCGCATTACGTTGAAAATCCAGACAAAAGGTCGTCGTCCTTTATCGAGGATCGAAAATAATCTTACGAGATTTTCAACTTTCTTTTTTTTTTCTTTTTATTTATGATAAAACAATGTTACTTACTTGTAACCAGCCAGAACGTTCATCAAAGTACTTTTTCCGGCACCCGATGGACCCATTATGGCTGTCAATTCGCCGGATCTGAATTTTCCGTTCACACATTTTAAAATTGTCTTGTAACCTATAATCAATCGAAACAAACAAATAAAAAAAAAAATACAAAATTATAGTAATACAATTAGTAAAGTTTTTCATTTTATTTTGTTTTTTTTCTTTTCGCACATTATCTTTCATTCCCTTATTAATTATTTCTTTATCTTTTTCTTTTTTTTTTTCTTTTAATTTTAAATATGTCAAGGATTTTTATTGTTCCAGATTTTTCAATCCAATTTCAGTTTAAACATTTTAAAATTGTCTTGTAAAGTATAAAATGATCTAAAAAAGAAAAAGAAAAAGAGGACAAAAAAAGTTAACAATTTATTATTTCAAAAGTTTCAATCGAATTAATATATCATCTGTAGAAAATATATTTGAACTTTCTTACTTCTTCTTATCTTTTTTACTTTATCTCTAACTTTCAGTAATTGAATTCTATTTTTATACTCGATAATACTCTTAGAACTTATAAAATTGATCTTCAAAAATCATGACATTCGGATGAGAAACGATGATGGAAATTTTCGTTGATGATAACGAATGACATATTATCATAATTATTATGTCTTTTTTTTTTCTTTTTACACACATTTTACGTGTATATATATATATATATGATTATTTATTTATTTATATATATAACTTAATCAGACTTCTGAATGACCTCTTTTACAACGAGTGCGGTTGCACTCGGTAGTGCATCTGCGCCGAAACCGGAACCAGCCGGTACATTACTATCGATTCTTTCGGGCTAGGTCGTTCACACACGTTGGCCCAACGAAAAACCTATGCTAGTTGCTGTGTTCGCATCATCAAATTTTCTTTTTATCTTTTCGGGAATCTTAAGCCATAAATAATAACCAACTTCAATGAACCAGTTAATAATTTCGAATAAATTATTGCTTAATAAAACGATCCTACACCTTCTGACTCAAATTTGTTTTTTCTTCGATCGCAATAATAGTATATTATTATTATATTCATACTAAAAAGATTAAAAAAAAGATATATATAAATTATATATATTCCTTGTTATTATAATCAACACGCGAATAAAATAAATAAATTAAAATTAATTAATTCCTTTTTTTTTTCAAAATGTAATTGAATTTTGATATTCCAATTTGATGATCGCTGAATATCAATTTCTCTCTATCTTAACTTGATGATAATTTTAAAAAAGATAATAACGCAACCTATGATCTCTTGAGAAATAATAATCGATAACGATAAAGATAACGAATTATTAATATTATTATCATAAGCAATAATAATAACGTTCGTTTATTCTATCAAGACGCATTGACTCAATTCAAAGTTTATTATAATTAATGGCCACAATTACTTAAATTAATTTAATAGACCAATCATGGGATAGAGAGAGAGTAATGCTTCATATACGTAATTTACCGACACGTTCGCTTTATAACGAGAAGGATAAAAAAAAAGAAAAAAGAAACAAAAAAAAAATAGGGAGAAAGAGAGAGAGAGAGAGAGAGAAAGAAGGTAAGAACGAGATTAATATCGCCATAAAAAATAAAAAAAAACGTACACTGTAATCATGAACGATGAAAACTCTTTCATAGTGATCCTTTTATATAAAGCATGTTAAATGAATCATCTCTTTTGTCGGTTTGAAGAAATGAAAGATAAACAAAACAAGAACGGAAGCAAATTAATTATTAAATTAGGTCGGTCTTGAGTTTTGTTTGAAAATCGATGATGATGACGATGACGATGACGATGATGATGACGTCGTTGTCTCTTATTTAAAACACTTGTTAAAATAGTTTGAAAAAAATGGAAGAAGGAAGCATAATGTCACCTCGTTTTCTGCCCTCGGAAACGCTGTAGGCGAGATTCTTAAACTCGATGTCGACTGGTGGCCTTTTTGGTAGATGCGTCAGTGAAACAGCCGGCCTTTTGTTTCCTTGCCCAGGACTGGCGCCACTGTGATTTTGAACTTTCCTTGCTAACACACCTCCCGTGCAAGCTGTGCCCGCGGAACCGTTTGATGTGACACCATTGCAACTACACTGAAGATTGTTCTGCGAGCCTCTGAAAATAAAACGAAAAAGATTGATATAAATAATCCGCAAAAATATTCTAGTAGAGAATAATATATATAAATATTATTTTTTCATTTAATTTTATCGTCATTTCATATAATGTTTTTTTTTGACCTGTATAGATTGAGCTTAAAAAAAATTAGGGATATTATTTTTATATTAAAATATATTTATATTATTATTGCAGTATATCGGATATGGGATATTAAATATTGTAAAATAATCTTATATTATTATATTATATATATTATTTTGTATTCATAAGAAAAATTATTATTAATTGTATCGTTAAATTTTTCGTAATTATTATCAATTAAGATTATAATGATCGCCGGTAACTTACTTCAAATCAAGGAAAGTAGTAATTAATTTTTATGAGATTTTATCAGATAGTTCTCATTGAATATTCTTGCGAGCTTCGTGAGAATATTGTAGTGTTCTTTAAAATAATATAATCCAATTTATCATGGTTCTTAACTATTTGAATATTATCGATATTTAAATCAGTATTATCATTATTATTATTATTATTATTATCATCATTAAATATATTTATTACTATAAATAAAATTTTTAAAGATCTTTATGTACATTGTATCAAAAAGAAAAGAATTAATCGCATCAATTAAATGTATTTTCAATTTATCTATGATCTATAGAACATCATTTTTTAAGTACTATACCGAAATGAAGTGTCATCATTAAAATTTTCTCTACTGGATTGTACGATAATATTTGACAATTTATAAAGATCCGATAATTTATCTACTGCTTATTATTATCATATATAGTAATATTACTTCATATCTACTTATGAATCTTCGTGATCTACGATAAAGTATGAATAATTGTGATAAATGTTAAAAAATGTGTCTTTTTTTTATAAATTAACCTCGTTATAAATTCTAAAAAAAAAAAAACTACATACGAGTATATTTGTCAATTAGCATGAAATTATAGATAAATAAGTTGAACAAAAACAATGTTATTACAGATAATGTTCGTGCTTCCGCTTTCAAGATCGTTTAAAAAGTGCATATAAATTGTCTTACACAATAACATGGATGATCTCCGGTAAATAAAAAGCGTGCAAATGGAAATAATAATAATTCTTTTTCTCTTTCATTTTTTTTCTTTTGTTCTTATATTAGATAACGAAAGATTCGTTATTTCACATTATATTAATTAAAAAATAATCTTAGACGTTTAATGTATCTTGATTGTTAAATAATCATTTATTTTTCTAAGATCATTCGTTTTAATTTTTAATAAAAATAATTAACGTAAATCGATAGGGGAGGGAATAAAGAAAAAAAAAAAAAACAAAAAAAAAACAAGAAAATAGTCGGTTATAGTCAGTATAATTAAATGCATACTATTTTTCTCGTACGAGATTAGAAACGTAATAATATTATGTTGCACAATTTTTGCATCGGTTATGTAAATTAATTTCTTCTTCCATTATATATATACATATATAAAAAAGTAAAGTGTGCAAACGTTAATGAGTAATGAAACGTAACGTCTCTCGATTGCAATTACCAAAGAAAATAGTATCGTTACGATAAAACGCGATGAGTATAATAAAGAGAACGCGAATCCAATCTCGTTAAATTATATTTTTTCTTCTCTTTTTATTTGTATAAAGCGCCTTCACGCGTTCGAGTAATTTTCCCTTTACTGAATACAAAATCAAGTCAAATAATAATATATAAAATGTAACGAAATGAGATAAATATTTTTTTATTTGCACGACGCGCGGATTTCGATATTGATCTAGACGATATTTTGAAGGAGATAAATAAAAAAAAAAAAAGAAATATACGTTCGAGATATCTTTCGTTACTCGTTCGACACATGACTTTCAAGTTCTTACGTTAGCGAAAGATTATAACGAGCAAAACAACAATGACAATGTAACGAAAGAAGGAGGAGGAGGAGGAGGAGGAGGAGGAAGAAGACAAAATTTGCAATTGCAATTATTTTGGAAAAAAAAAAAGAATGAAAAACAAATACCTTACATATATTATATATAAATAATATAAGAAAAGAATATTTATTATTAAATTGAGAGATTGATCTTCAATGATCGTAATTCGAAAAAATAAAATGAAAAATGACTTAATAAAGCGTTGTTGTTTAACGAGGTGCATTGATCATAAATGAAGATAGATTAAATGACTCGATGATAGGCATCGAGATCCGGTAGGCCTTTGATAAATCGAAATAATATTTTATTTGGCAAAGGTTAACTAACACAAAAGATTATTATTCATTTAAATCTCGTCATTGGTATCGTGTGAACAAAATTATATGAAAAATTACATCGTCCTAAATTTTTCAAACGCTTTAATAATAAAATAATATTAAAACTTGTTTAATACAAAAATCTCAAACATGAGAAAAAACCAAGGAAATGTGTAATAATCGTTAGTAAAAAAAATCGCAATATTATTCTATACGATCGCACGTGTATTTGCACACTGCCAAATAAGATAAAATAATGAAATTTTTGTTGGCAAGCACAGAGAAAAGTTCAACGAGTATTACACTTTGCAAGACGTATTAGTTTCTAGAAATGTGTCTAACAACGAAAAGGAGAATCGAAGTTCTTTGAGATCGATCGAACTATAAAAAGAAACAGAAAGAAAGAAAGAGAGAGAGAGAGAGAGAGAGAGACCTTGAAATTCCTTTTAGGACGTTTTCGAGGGAAGTTTCGTTCGCGTGTCGGAAGTAGATCTTGCCTTGTCCTTTTTCATTCATAGATTCTTCTCTCTTAGGATTTGGGATAAAGCGGATATTTGAAAACGATCGTACAACCCCGAACCCTCACCCAATTTCAGCCCATTCCATCCCTATCACTCCTTCTCCTTTGCCAGTTTGTGAACTTGCTACTTTGGTATATGAGATAAAAAAGAACACTGAGATACGTCGATGGAAAGAAGGATAGAAAAAAAGTGTATTTGTTATCAGGGGGAAGAAGATAGGAAAAGAAAAAAAAAAAAAATCGTTTTCTTTCAAATAAGAGCCACGACATATAAAAATTTATGAAACGTTTGACCTGCAACCACCCCACCTCTTTCTTTTTTTTCTCTCCTTTTTATATGTATTTATATTAGTCTTCTTCTATTTTTTTTTTCCTTCTAAAACGTTCGTATACATTCTTTTTTTATAATACAAATTTATTAAAGAAATATGTGAACTTTAATCATAAACAAACGGAGAAGGAATGTGTACACGTTGAAATGATTTTGCACGATTGAAAGAATTTATACCTTGAGTTTGTTTACAGTACGAATCGAACTCGAATGTTAAAATAGGAGGACAAAGTTAAAGAAAGAAATAGAGAGAGAGTTTGAGAGAGAGAAAGAGAGAAAGAAGATATCTTTTAACTCGAATAGCGAATGAAATTTAGGTCAAACGACATTTGCGGTCGATGAAGTAGGCATAAAACGCGAACAGGGACCATTAGGTATCCACCCACACATACACCCACAATATAAACATACACACACACACATACATACGCATTTCTTTTCGATGAAGAAAAAGATCACAGCTGGTAACACGAATCAATATTTTATTTCGTCATCGTTTAAGGAAAGAAAAAGAAAAAAATTCTCATTCCTTCTCTCATTTAAAAACATCGATCCTTATTTTTGATGTTTCTCGTGTGAAACAAACCCCTAAAAATTCTTTTTTTCCTTTTTATTCGTTTTTTTCTTTTTTCTTAATAACCTGACGAAATTACGTAATTACGATTCTCCCTTTCTCTCTCATTGAAATGAGTTGTTGGAATAGGGTGGTGAATGACGTAACACGAAATATGCTGAAACATTATGAAGAAGTATATCAATGAAGTTTTCAAACAGGATGTGTGTTATAGCTAATGCATTAACCGGCATCTTGTCCACGTGTATTTACTTTGAAAAGCAGGAAAACCTGGGAGTTATGTACTTATATCGATACAAGTAAATACGATATCATTATACGTTATCGTTTTAAAATTTGTATTTCTCGTTCGTGTTTTATATAGTTGGTTCGTGTTTTATATAGTTGGTTCGTGACGATTGAAGAAACGGAAATAAAAAAAAAAGAAAGAGAAATAAAAAATAGAGAGAAATAAAACGTGTTATATAAAAAGGGAAACGTGAAAAGAGATACGAATAAAAAAAAAAACAAAAAAAAGGAGAAAAAATTAATATTGAAGTGAAAATATATTGGTAGCTCACCCCAGGACCGCATTATTGAGGTTCTCCAAATGTAAAGATGGCGGTGGAGATCTGATTGTCACTTGATGACTTCCACCGGGAATAAATTGTACCTGCTCGTCGCCATTGTACCTCGATCCACCTCCCCCACTCAAACTGAGATTCTTCAAATCTGCCATAATCCGATTCTGTTATAAATGAGACAAAATTAAATTAAATTAATCATTAATTTCGTACATTTTTAAAAATTAATAATTACAATTAGAATCCAAGGATTATATTACGATTAATAGTGAAAAATGTTTTGTAATATTTTCATATAAAAGAAAAAGAAAATAATAAGAATTTAATTTTGTATCTTGAGGATAATAAAAGTAACCAGCTGTACAGGTGATTTCTTAGTCGCGGAATGTCTGCGTGTGTGTTTGTATTTATCGAAAACGCTAATCAATTTTTTTTCTAATATCATCTCTATCGAACTACTCCTTTCTATCGTGTGATAAATTTAATTAGAAAAATTTCTTATCGATCGACGATCAGGTCAAAGTCTTTCTTTTTCTATTTTATTTTTTATTTCAAACGATCTTGACATTTGATTGTATTTGAAATCGTATATAATCGAGAAGAATATCACATTTGAGTATACGAATATATATAAATTCTTTTTTCTTTTATGTCTTCTAACGATTTACAGTGAAAAGCTTCGAACTAATAGGATTCCTCAACAGAAGATTAGAAAATACAATTCAGGAAGTATATTATTGTGTAGATTCACTATCATTAGTTACGAGTAGCTAACATGATTATCGCAAGACTCGAAAAAATCGATCCACGTTTTTATTTTTCTATTTAAATTAATAATTAGACATAAGAGATGAATAATAAAAAAAAACACATGCAACAAATTTATGAACACAAATTGAAAGATCAATGTTAAAAATAATCATTTTAAATGTTAACAATCTTATAATCTTAAAATAAATCCTTACAATCTTAAAGAACTTTTGTATTGATGTTTATAGTGTTAAAAAAAAAAAAAAATAAAAAAAAAAAGTAAAAATGTTGAACCAAGTGTTCGCGAAATCTACAAGAAGAAAGCTAAGAAAGTGATAAATTTTAGCTGGCACAACACTCAGTTCCGATATCGTGTTTATTATATATGCATAATACAACAATACATAAACGTGCATAAAGTGTGAGTAAAAGAAACGAGAATTTCATCTCACTCAATTCGCATTCATTTTCACAGTTTTGCTAGGAGACGTTGACGAGAATAATTTTTGGAATAGTGCCAAGAGAGAAAGAAATAAAGAAAGGAAGAAATAAAGAAAGAACAAAACAAAAGGAAAGAGAGATAGAAACTTGCACACCTTTTTTCTATCTTTCAGAAGGTAGTAGAATCCTTTTTAGAATCGTAGTCGTTATGATGATCGGTCTGTTTCGTCAGAATGTGTTTTCCATATATGTATGTCGTAAAAAGCAAAACAACAGTTTGCATTTCGCAACGTTCTCGTTAAAGTATCGAAAGAAGGATCTATCTATGATAGAGGAAAAAAAAAACAAATGTTGATAAAAAAAATGTATCAAACGCGATATATATTTTAATTAACGTACGTATACTTATTGAAAATAACATTGACAAATAAAATAACAAACAAGTTGAGTTTTTAATTTTTACGTTGTCGTTTGTTCATCCATGCGAAAATATTTCTAATTGATTTAATTAATTAGAACAAGAAAAGAAGAAGAAAAAAAAAAAAAAACGAGCAGCACGTCATCGATCGTCATCAATTTCATATTGTGACAAGTAAAAAAAAGCGATGTGTTTTAAAATCGACTGATTAATTGATCGATCGATCGATCTATCTTTATCGATCTTTCCTTGAAGACAAGCACGTGTCGAGAATTGAACCTTTCAATAAAGAACACCTGATACGAATGAGACGTATGAATGCTACTACTGGATAGAAATAAATGAATATAGAAAATAAAAATGGAAAGAAATATAGATTGAAAAAATTGGAGTGTCAGAGTTTTTATGAAACCTTATTTAAATATACGCATTGATTAATTCAAGATAAGATCTTGAATAGTAATATCGAAAGTTTTAAAAAAAATGTATTTAAAATAAATATTTATAATGTATAATTTATTAATGAATATTTATTATGTATTTTTAAATGAATATTAAATTGTTATTCGCACGATTCTGTGTGTGTGTATATTATGACAGAAATGAAAAAATATAATTAAACAATGTTCTTTCCGATTGAAAACGATATTCATTTTTATTACTTTCCTTTTTTTTTCTTTTTAATAAAGCTCGCGTTCTATTAGTCAATGAAAAATATGGCGTAAAGTGAAAATAAGCGTTAAGGTTACAAGATAAATTGCCATAACGGTTTATGACAATTGACTTGCTCCAGAAATGCTTATCGTGTTGATGATACAACATATTATATTTTATGATGCAAGTATAATAGTATCGTTACGATTGTGGTTCTCTCCTTCTTTACATACTCAAATAATATAAAAGAAAAAAAAAAAAAAACAAAGAAGAACATAACGATAGTGCAAAAAAATAAGTTGGAATTTCGAATAAATATTTCTTTTACTTCCTCGTACAAATAATACGTTCACACGGCTCATGATTCATACATTCGATCATCTACCATAAGTTAAGTGACCTCGATCACGAGTGCGACTAACAGTCGAGCTTTTATTACTGACGAACTTACTAAGAAAGTAAATGTTCGATCGTTCTGAACTTTTACGAAATTATTAAATAATTTAAATAAGAATAATTATAAAATACATAATTTTACACTGAATACAAAATATTATCTTACGTGCGTACACACAAGCACAAGTGTTTCTTGCACGTTTATATTTCTCTTGTCGCAAATTTTCAACGTCATTTCTTTTAACGTTATCACGCGTTATTAAATAGATTAAAAAGACAAATTGTCAAATTACTCCGATTATTTTTTTGTTTTTTTGCGAAAGAAGAATTTCGATACTACTCTACATATCTTATATACATATATACCATTAATTTACCTATTAATTAAATTTCCATTAATTATTATACAATAAAATAATATTATTAAGTGACTTTAATTATTATATATTTTACAATTAATTATGGTCATGCATTTCATAATCACACGATATATATAATAATTAATAACAATAATATATGTATAAAAAATAAGTATATATAAAATATTGATATTAAAAAGATCCACACAATTATAGTTAGATAGAAAGACGCAATTTCTTCTGCATACTAAACGTCATGAATACATACATTTCAATTTGTAACTACTCTATGATAGAGAGAGAGAGAGAGAGAGAGAGAGAAAAAAGGGAAAGAGAACGGAAGAAGAGAGACACCAAATGCTCGTTTGATCAATTCAGATTTGACTCGTTAACGGTAATAGAGAAAAAGAGAGAGAGAGAGAGAGAGAGAGAGAGAGAGAGAGAAAGAGTGAGATAATGGCTGATACGCGTGCAAAATACAATCCTATTTATAATTTTCCTAAGCTCACGAAGATCGATCGATGATTTTATTTTCTAGTTTTCCCCAACTGACTGTGACATGAAAAAAATGATGTTCGTTCATCGGAACACATTGTACGTTTAAGAAAGAGAAATAGAAATAATAATGATTGAAAAGACGCATGCGCGTAATTAATTCGCGCGTGTGCAATGTGCATTTGAACGAGAAAACGGTGCGTGATCGTAAAATTTAATCAGAGATAGATCTTGGAAAGATGAACATAAATTTTTTATATAAATCTTTACTCTCGTATATATATATGCACGTGTGTGTAATATTCGTTTCAATTTTTTTATTTGAATAATCTATTTAATTAATTGCAATTAGATGGAGTATCTTTCGTTGATTGGAAAATAAAAATACATAATGTTAATTCGTAATATCGTTTGACAAACAAACAAAAAAAGAAAAAGGAAGAATAATTTGTCGATATTATCGATCATTTGTCGCGTAAGAAAAAAATATAAAATACAAAATAATTTATTCGAATTTTCTCATTTTCTTTCTTTTGTATCGTACAAATTATTATTAGCAATTTAAAGAACGCATCGAAGATTGCGATTAGGAAATGAATATTTAATGTATTAAATCGTTCGGATTAATTGAGACAAATTTTATTTTTTACACGATCGAGAAAAGAATATATTTTTTAGTTTTCATTTCTCGCTTGAAAGTATGAGTTTTTTTTTTGTTTTTTTTTTTGGATATACTGAAAAGAAAAATAGAAATATTTTGTTGGAAAACTTAGAGAGATGGTTCGGTCCACAGAAAATGTAAGAAGAAAACTAGAAACAAGGGCATCCATTATCAACGAAAAGCGTGCTTGCGAACGAACCTCGACTCGCCACGACCTACATACGGACACAGATGATGTCTTCGTTGCGTCTTGTGGGATTATTTTTAAAACGAGAAAAAAAAAAAGAAATAAAAGGAACAAGGAAATGAAAAGAAGGGGAAAAAAGAAAATAGGTAAGAAACGCGTAGAACAAAACGGTACAATTTTTACGATCGAAATTATAATAACACTATTCAAAATTATTTCTTATCATTTTAATTGCGTTGAAATTTTACTCGATACAAATAAAGTCCAAACTATCAACGTTATCGTCGGTTTATTTTTGTAAACGTTATTTCTGAATGAATTTAAAATTTTTTAATGATATATTTCTTCATATACGTTATATTAATTTTGTAGAAATTATTATACGTCGACTCATATAATTTATTTATTAAATAATATTTGCATGCAATTATTGTTAGAGAAACGTCAAAATATAATCTAAAAGTCAAATACACGCACGTGTCGCACTCACGTTCATTCGCTTGCTTAAAGAAAATGCATTTCTATTAAACACAATAGATAAAATATCAAAATAAAAAAGTAATTATAAGAAACGTATTGTCGGAGGTCATGAAGGTAAAGGTTGAAGAAGAAAGAAAATGTATGTGCATACATGCGTTATATACATATATATATATATATGCATCACTCACCGTATGATGATCTGGTTTTTCTGCAGATGCGTTTGGTTTATAAGGTTGTCCTTTGTATCCGAATTCATAACCTACTGGAATAAACTCGAAGCATCCTCCAGGTTTGTTCCTTTAATATTTGACTATCTCTTTCTCCCTCTCCTGTCGGACGCAGTATACAAATCTTCCGGTTATTATTTAAATTCAATATTTTATCTCTTCTTTCTCTGACGTAACAAGAAATAAATGTAAAAACAAATCTAAATATTTCGGAGGATTAAATCGAAGGAACACTAATTACGAACTATCACTATAGTGATCGTAGATTTATCGACAAGATTCCTTCTTTCGTGTGTTTCTTCGTTACCGATAACGCACCCCACGATTCATGACAACACTTTTCTTCTCGTCTACTTTTAACTACTTTCCTAAATTTTTTCTTTTTTCTTTTAAACACCTATATATATAAATATATATAAATAAAAAAAGAAGATAAGCTTGCGTTGGGCTTTTTGTTTCGAGCACAGATACACTTAATAATATTTTCCACGTTCGAATCTCTTCTAACGATTGATCGAATAATTAATAAATAATAATAATAATTAGGGATGTGTGATATGAAGAAGACAAATATATAGATTTGTTTAAGAAAAAATAATGAGAATTAGGATAGCAAGTGAAAGTATGAGATAAAGGTACAGATATATATATATATGTATATATGTATATATATATATATAAAAAGGGAGGAGACAGAAAGAAAGAAAGAAAGAAAAAAAGAAAGAGATAAAGAAAGGGATGCAAGGAGAGAAAGACCGATTTAAAAAACGCACCACCAGCACTCCGAGAGAATCAGTTGTCGGGCTATGCACCACCGTTCGACTCTACCGTCGAAATAAGCCGACCTGTCCGCGACCAAAGCCAGGAACGTAGCTTCTTGCGGGAGCCAGGGGCCCCCCCACCACTCCATTAACTCAAATCCTCTCACTTTATTTCTTCCTTTATCTCATTTTCTACTCACAAACTTCTATTATCTTTCAGATAAACATGAATTTTCTTAACCCGAGACGACCTTGCATATTTTCTAACGTAATCAAAGATCTAACAGAAGAGAGCACTACGTATACCGCTTGTTCTTTTTAATTGTTTTCTTCTATCTTGGAATAGAGGAGGTGGAGGGAAAAAGAAAAAGGTAGAAGGGAACAAACATGACAGTTCTTTCTGACTGACTGACTCTTTCTCTTTCTCTTTCTGCTTAAGATTACTCTTCTACGATCTCGAAATGTGAATTCGAACTGTGTGATTCATACCCTGCGGAGTAAGTCGGTTGTCGTTGTCTTCGTCGTCGTCGTCGTTTGACTGTTGGAAAGAAGATTGAATACAAAGAGATTGATGAACTTCAACATAGTATATCTACCTACGTTTGATTTTATCCTTGGTAACGATTAAAGCGTTGATCCTTGGAAATATTCTTGATGCTACAGATGATGCGGCCGATTAATCGTGATTCATATCTTTAAGAAAAATTCCGTTCTTTTGATTGAACGGAGTTTAAAAAACTAGTATGTAAGTGATGAATATGTGGGAAATCCTTTGTTCAAACGAAAGCGAGGTTTTTCTTGTAATTTTGCTTCTTCTTTTTTTTTCTTTATTGTTCCTGTAAAAAGTTACACACACAGGAGTTAGATATTATTATTGATTTATTTTTTTATTCTTTTTTTTTTATTTTACGAAAGACATAAAGTATTATATATATATATATATTTATTTCATAGAACTTACCATTGCTTTATTGACAATTCGGAACAAGCGTATATACATCAGAAAGATTGTAGCACATTTTCTCTTTTATTATTTAGTTTAAATAAGGAAATACCGTCTTGTTTTGTTCTTACGACAAATAAAAACTAAAATAACGAAAGATAATATTTAGCACATAAAGACTTTTGAGAAACGTCATCGAGTTTACGCTAAAGCAATAAAACGCGATAAAACCTCATTTTACCGTTTTGCAATCGATTCATTATCCTCAAGAAAATTGCAATAATAAAAAAAAATTTATAAAGTATTTCGTATTATTAAAAGTTATAATAAAAACACACACGCAATCGATATTTATCGATGAATAATAAAATATAATAATATTAACAAAAATCTCTTTAATTATCTTCAACTACGTCATCCTATAATACGTACCACATAATAATCCTGACAAAAAAATAAAAAAAAAGAAATAATACAAAATTATCAGGAACGAAATAATAATAAAAAAAAAAAAAAAAAAATCGTTTTCTTTCAAATAAGAGCCACGACATATAAAAATTTATGAAACGTTTGACCTGCAACCACCCCACCTCTTTCTTTTTTTTCTCTCCTTTTTATATGTATTTATATTAGTCTTCTTCTATTTTTTTTTTCCTTCTAAAACGTTCGTATACATTCTTTTTTTATAATACAAATTTATTAAAGAAATATGTGAACTTTAATCATAAACAAACGGAGAAGGAATGTGTACACGTTGAAATGATTTTGCACGATTGAAAGAATTTATACCTTGAGTTTGTTTACAGTACGAATCGAACTCGAATGTTAAAATAGGAGGACAAAGTTAAAGAAAGAAATAGAGAGAGAGTTTGAGAGAGAGAAAGAGAGAAAGAAGATATCTTTTAACTCGAATAGCGAATGAAATTTAGGTCAAACGACATTTGCGGTCGATGAAGTAGGCATAAAACGCGAACAGGGACCATTAGGTATCCACCCACACATACACCCACAATATAAACATACACACACACACATACATACGCATTTCTTTTCGATGAAGAAAAAGATCACAGCTGGTAACACGAATCAATATTTTATTTCGTCATCGTTTAAGGAAAGAAAAAGAAAAAAATTCTCATTCCTTCTCTCATTTAAAAACATCGATCCTTATTTTTGATGTTTCTCGTGTGAAACAAACCCCTAAAAATTCTTTTTTTCCTTTTTATTCGTTTTTTTCTTTTTTCTTAATAACCTGACGAAATTACGTAATTACGATTCTCCCTTTCTCTCTCATTGAAATGAGTTGTTGGAATAGGGTGGTGAATGACGTAACACGAAATATGCTGAAACATTATGAAGAAGTATATCAATGAAGTTTTCAAACAGGATGTGTGTTATAGCTAATGCATTAACCGGCATCTTGTCCACGTGTATTTACTTTGAAAAGCAGGAAAACCTGGGAGTTATGTACTTATATCGATACAAGTAAATACGATATCATTATACGTTATCGTTTTAAAATTTGTATTTCTCGTTCGTGTTTTATATAGTTGGTTCGTGTTTTATATAGTTGGTTCGTGACGATTGAAGAAACGGAAATAAAAAAAAAAGAAAGAGAAATAAAAAATAGAGAGAAATAAAACGTGTTATATAAAAAGGGAAACGTGAAAAGAGATACGAATAAAAAAAAAAACAAAAAAAAGGAGAAAAAATTAATATTGAAGTGAAAATATATTGGTAGCTCACCCCAGGACCGCATTATTGAGGTTCTCCAAATGTAAAGATGGCGGTGGAGATCTGATTGTCACTTGATGACTTCCACCGGGAATAAATTGTACCTGCTCGTCGCCATTGTACCTCGATCCACCTCCCCCACTCAAACTGAGATTCTTCAAATCTGCCATAATCCGATTCTGTTATAAATGAGACAAAATTAAATTAAATTAATCATTAATTTCGTACATTTTTAAAAATTAATAATTACAATTAGAATCCAAGGATTATATTACGATTAATAGTGAAAAATGTTTTGTAATATTTTCATATAAAAGAAAAAGAAAATAATAAGAATTTAATTTTGTATCTTGAGGATAATAAAAGTAACCAGCTGTACAGGTGATTTCTTAGTCGCGGAATGTCTGCGTGTGTGTTTGTATTTATCGAAAACGCTAATCAATTTTTTTTCTAATATCATCTCTATCGAACTACTCCTTTCTATCGTGTGATAAATTTAATTAGAAAAATTTCTTATCGATCGACGATCAGGTCAAAGTCTTTCTTTTTCTATTTTATTTTTTATTTCAAACGATCTTGACATTTGATTGTATTTGAAATCGTATATAATCGAGAAGAATATCACATTTGAGTATACGAATATATATAAATTCTTTTTTCTTTTATGTCTTCTAACGATTTACAGTGAAAAGCTTCGAACTAATAGGATTCCTCAACAGAAGATTAGAAAATACAATTCAGGAAGTATATTATTGTGTAGATTCACTATCATTAGTTACGAGTAGCTAACATGATTATCGCAAGACTCGAAAAAATCGATCCACGTTTTTATTTTTCTATTTAAATTAATAATTAGACATAAGAGATGAATAATAAAAAAAAACACATGCAACAAATTTATGAACACAAATTGAAAGATCAATGTTAAAAATAATCATTTTAAATGTTAACAATCTTATAATCTTAAAATAAATCCTTACAATCTTAAAGAACTTTTGTATTGATGTTTATAGTGTTAAAAAAAAAAAAAAATAAAAAAAAAAAGTAAAAATGTTGAACCAAGTGTTCGCGAAATCTACAAGAAGAAAGCTAAGAAAGTGATAAATTTTAGCTGGCACAACACTCAGTTCCGATATCGTGTTTATTATATATGCATAATACAACAATACATAAACGTGCATAAAGTGTGAGTAAAAGAAACGAGAATTTCATCTCACTCAATTCGCATTCATTTTCACAGTTTTGCTAGGAGACGTTGACGAGAATAATTTTTGGAATAGTGCCAAGAGAGAAAGAAATAAAGAAAGGAAGAAATAAAGAAAGAACAAAACAAAAGGAAAGAGAGATAGAAACTTGCACACCTTTTTTCTATCTTTCAGAAGGTAGTAGAATCCTTTTTAGAATCGTAGTCGTTATGATGATCGGTCTGTTTCGTCAGAATGTGTTTTCCATATATGTATGTCGTAAAAAGCAAAACAACAGTTTGCATTTCGCAACGTTCTCGTTAAAGTATCGAAAGAAGGATCTATCTATGATAGAGGAAAAAAAAAACAAATGTTGATAAAAAAAATGTATCAAACGCGATATATATTTTAATTAACGTACGTATACTTATTGAAAATAACATTGACAAATAAAATAACAAACAAGTTGAGTTTTTAATTTTTACGTTGTCGTTTGTTCATCCATGCGAAAATATTTCTAATTGATTTAATTAATTAGAACAAGAAAAGAAGAAGAAAAAAAAAAAAAAACGAGCAGCACGTCATCGATCGTCATCAATTTCATATTGTGACAAGTAAAAAAAAGCGATGTGTTTTAAAATCGACTGATTAATTGATCGATCGATCGATCTATCTTTATCGATCTTTCCTTGAAGACAAGCACGTGTCGAGAATTGAACCTTTCAATAAAGAACACCTGATACGAATGAGACGTATGAATGCTACTACTGGATAGAAATAAATGAATATAGAAAATAAAAATGGAAAGAAATATAGATTGAAAAAATTGGAGTGTCAGAGTTTTTATGAAACCTTATTTAAATATACGCATTGATTAATTCAAGATAAGATCTTGAATAGTAATATCGAAAGTTTTAAAAAAAATGTATTTAAAATAAATATTTATAATGTATAATTTATTAATGAATATTTATTATGTATTTTTAAATGAATATTAAATTGTTATTCGCACGATTCTGTGTGTGTGTATATTATGACAGAAATGAAAAAATATAATTAAACAATGTTCTTTCCGATTGAAAACGATATTCATTTTTATTACTTTCCTTTTTTTTTCTTTTTAATAAAGCTCGCGTTCTATTAGTCAATGAAAAATATGGCGTAAAGTGAAAATAAGCGTTAAGGTTACAAGATAAATTGCCATAACGGTTTATGACAATTGACTTGCTCCAGAAATGCTTATCGTGTTGATGATACAACATATTATATTTTATGATGCAAGTATAATAGTATCGTTACGATTGTGGTTCTCTCCTTCTTTACATACTCAAATAATATAAAAGAAAAAAAAAAAAAAACAAAGAAGAACATAACGATAGTGCAAAAAAATAAGTTGGAATTTCGAATAAATATTTCTTTTACTTCCTCGTACAAATAATACGTTCACACGGCTCATGATTCATACATTCGATCATCTACCATAAGTTAAGTGACCTCGATCACGAGTGCGACTAACAGTCGAGCTTTTATTACTGACGAACTTACTAAGAAAGTAAATGTTCGATCGTTCTGAACTTTTACGAAATTATTAAATAATTTAAATAAGAATAATTATAAAATACATAATTTTACACTGAATACAAAATATTATCTTACGTGCGTACACACAAGCACAAGTGTTTCTTGCACGTTTATATTTCTCTTGTCGCAAATTTTCAACGTCATTTCTTTTAACGTTATCACGCGTTATTAAATAGATTAAAAAGACAAATTGTCAAATTACTCCGATTATTTTTTTGTTTTTTTGCGAAAGAAGAATTTCGATACTACTCTACATATCTTATATACATATATACCATTAATTTACCTATTAATTAAATTTCCATTAATTATTATACAATAAAATAATATTATTAAGTGACTTTAATTATTATATATTTTACAATTAATTATGGTCATGCATTTCATAATCACACGATATATATAATAATTAATAACAATAATATATGTATAAAAAATAAGTATATATAAAATATTGATATTAAAAAGATCCACACAATTATAGTTAGATAGAAAGACGCAATTTCTTCTGCATACTAAACGTCATGAATACATACATTTCAATTTGTAACTACTCTATGATAGAGAGAGAGAGAGAGAGAGAGAGA